AAGACTAGCATTACAGTTGACCCTAACAGCTCTTTTCCTGTAACCTTGACGTGCCTGCAGTCTGCACTGCAGGCTGAACAGTTAACAGCCTGAGCTAGTCAACCTGTCTGCACTAACATTCCTAGACAACAAATCTCTGAATATCTATCTAACTAAAAAAATAACCTAACAAGGTGCTAAAAAACAAACTGTTAGAAGGAACAATTCAAACAACACATTGAAAGTGGAATGTGAAGCACTAAAGACCCTTTTGTGAATGAATCCGTGTCTGCTCATCCTGGCTTGGTCTTTGTGCAACCAATTAAGCCTGGACGCACGTGTTTTGGATTCATTGAGCTCAGCTCAGTCATTTATCCTGGATATCTTAATTCTACTTTTGTGCAACAGGCCCCTGGACTTTAAAGAAAAATGCTGTGACACAACGTTATGATCCAGACTGATTAAACTTTGATTAACTGTAAAAAGCTGATGTGAGAAACATCCCCAGTGTAATGCTCCTTTAAAATGCATCTGTCTGTTGTGTTTCTCTTTCTTTTGCTTTCACAGTTTGTATCAGATTAATTTAACCTGAAAACTGTGTCCAGGTCTGCAGTGGAGCTGTTTGCTGATTACAGCATCAGAGACATGAGTTTTAACCCCCCGGTAGTGCCGCCCAGCACCAAGAAGAAGGTACTAAAATCAAACACACCTTCACACATTCAGTCTTATAAACTTGTAACTAGGGGTGGGGAATGTTTACAAATATTCATAAACAAGTACTCGCAGATTTTTGACAACGTGTACACTTTTTTCCATATGGTAGTCTACTGTCCAGGGTGCAAAATTACAGTGTGTCCCGATCCCACCCTTAGTTTTAATTAGGGGTGGGATCAGGGCACTCTAGATAATGCTGACACCACTTCAAAAAAGCCAGAGATTGTTCCTTATTAGGAATTAAAGGCTTTGGAGTAAGTCTGAAGAGTGTACATCAGTTTAACTGAGAGTATCCTGGCCTTTAATATTAGTCTGGTACGGTAATATAACGGTGGCCACTAAAAATAAACTGGCAAAAATTGTTAAAACAGCTGGAGAAATTCTAGGTTGGCCACAAACCTCACTGGGCTAGTTGTATGAAATGCCGGGTGTAGGAAAACTCGGTTTGTTGTGGCCAAAAACAACAAACAAAACAACCTCTGTATTTGGAGTTTGAAGTGATGCAAGTAAAAAGACGTACAAAGGTTAATTTGTACCACAAGCGGTCAACCTGTGGAATGAGTAGGCTTAGAATTTTGAATGTAGGTGGGAGTCTGTACTTTGATTGAGGTTATTTATTGTTTTGAGTGATTTCTATATATTTTAGTGATGTGTTAATTTGTCATTCTGCGAGATACTGTATCTCTTGAGTGTGTGTGCTTGTGGTGCAGGGAGCCAAAGACAAATTTCCTCCGTGCTTGATAAAGTAAATTGAACTGAATTGAAAACAGTGCCTGGTTTCGTACAATAACAAAATAAAGCTGTGAATCTTTAACTTAAGTCATAATTGATTAATTATCATTGATTCATCTTGTGTTTACCTCCATACATTTATCAATAGTGTTTCCCATTTTTCACACGTGCTTACCAGGGTCGTTTCACAGCCAGAGCAACGCTGCTGGACGCCGAGCTGCAGACACGAATCAAGAGTGTCCTGAGTCCCCCTGAGGAGGCAGATCTGGACTTTACCTCAACACACACACCAGCCCAGCACTGACACACACACACACACATACTGCTTCATTCCATCTGCAGATTTTTTTGTAACAAAGATTAAAAACACGAATCTCTGTAATGTGATTTCTGTTTGTCACTGAGGTCTGAAAAGGTAGAAAACCAGGTGCAAGTTCATTCTTCACATGCAACTTATATCCATACTTGAACACAACAGAATAATAGATCCACAAACAAACTCCTAAAACTGTAATTCTATCAATTATTTAGTGATATTTCCACTGTGACCAGCAGGTGGTGCTGCAGCCCCTTTCCTGCACTAAGACACTCAGCTGCATTTCAAGTCATTTCTAGTTGGTGGAAAAACTCAGTATATTGTATCCAAGTATTGTGCTGGAGTGCACTACTTATGGTATCTGTACTTCACTTGAGTATTTCCATGTTCTGCTACTTCATACTTGGACTTGTCACACTGTGACATTTTACTGTTGGGCCTCAACAATCAGTCTCTTTCTCCTGTGTAGCAGGGTGGTAGGCTTTTACCAGTCTGTGTCCAGGGGCCCTTTGCCTCATGTGTCCCTGGCTGTCAAAGATTTGGAGACCGAAACAGCAACTATGTACTGATATTATTTCATACAGGAATATGGCACTGAGCGGTTTCTAAATGGGCCCTGCTCCTCAGTAGCTTTAACAAACATCAACACGGAATGGAGTCACTTCACAGCTTCATAAGCTGACAAATGATTTTTAAAAGAAGGGCTAGTTAGGCCTGACTCCTCTCTGACACACAGTCAACAATCAAAGCAGAAGCTGGAAAAAAGTTATGAAACTGCTGTGTTGGGCCAGGCCCGGCCCTAACCAATTTGGCGCCCTAGGCAAGATTTCAGGTGGCGCCCCGTTGCATCACACTAAATTCCACTGCTAGTGTATATACTCATAAGATACGTAATAGCTTTGTCTTGGACATTCTTTTATTTAAATAAAGCAATTGCACATTCAAAATACTTAGAAAGAATTAAAGAAACAAATACAAAAAAAATGAACTGAACATATGAAATACAATATAAATAGCTTACATAAAGTACCTATTAATACTCCCAAAATAAAAAGTGTAAACAAGTGACATTAACTTAAAAATACAATATAAATACGGCACTGTGCAAAATAAGATATTAAAGAAACGAGTAGGCACAAAAAAATACAAGGATTTAAATAAAAATAAAAAGATGATCTTACAAAGACCTCTAGTGGTGTTTTTGGTACTGCCGTAACTTAAAAACTACACCATCACCTCCTCAATCTCACATAACCTGCTACAGCTTTACTCTCCTGGTTTTTCTTGCAGCAAAGTCATCTACAACATCATCATATGACAACTGATTTGAGACCACATGGTTTATGCTTATAATGGCAAGTCCACTGAGACGTTCTTGCATCATAGTAGATCTCAG